TGACGACAGCAAGCACAGGAAGTTAGAGGAATTCCGCAGTAGCCGAGACCACCGGCTGGACATGAAGGATCATCACTCAGACCACCGCTCTTCCTACCGCTACCACTCAGAATGGCAGACAGAGCAGCGAGGCTCAGCCAGTGGGCAGCGCTCACCCTACGACTCCCGGTCACCACTGGGGCACCGCTCACCTTTTGACTACTCATCAGACCACAAGAGCACACCAGAGCAGATTTGGAGCAGCCGCAAAACATAACAGGAGTTGCCCAGGTCTGCAAGTAGCAGCCATAAACTCGGAAACACAGCAAATGCCTTACACAGACTGTGGACTCCAACCTGAAGCTGTTTGAAGCACTGCGTATCAGTCAGTTCAGCATGACTGTCATCTCCTCGCTTCAGCAGCAGCTCATCTCGGGAACCCGGCAGGGAGCGGCTCAAAGCAGGCAACAGATTAGAAAAATAAATAAATCAAAGCTTATTTTTGTATTTAAGAGTTTAAAGCTGTAGTGTCGTGTATGCTCAACAGCATGCGCCACAATTTTTGTTATTTTTATAAAACGTTTTTTTTACACAAATGGACACAATTGACCCTGAGTGCTGCCTCATATGTCACCAACCTATGACACTGGATCCTGTATTTGACTGTTAGTTGTCTCTGTGTCTCAATCATTCTTAATGTGATTATCTACCTTATTTAAGTGTTAACTGAACAAGAAGTTGGTTGTCACATGAATAATGTTATAAGGTGATTTTTAAGGTGTCTGGACTCAGGCTCACCACCTGAAGTACCTCATTTACAGCATTTGTCATTTCCTCAGCAGTTTTCTTTTTGTGTGTGCATTTGTTTTGTAATTCCCCCACACAAGGCATGCATTATTTAATAACACATCTTAGCTGTAAAAAAAAAACAAACAAACAAAAAACACCTGGATTCTTTTTTTCCCTTTTTTTTTTTAGCTATCATGTTTGTTTTCCTTAAATACTACTATTGTAAATTTTTTGTAAAATAGTAAATCGATGGTCTTTTTCCTCAGGCTCTTTGAATTTATTATGACTTGGCTTACCCCATCAACTCAGGCTTTTTGTCATTCTATAAATGAGTTTCTGTATATTTCTTTAAGAATGTAACTTTTGGTAAAGGGAAAGTTCTTTAAGCATACCCAGTGTTCATTCACTAGTGCTTAGTTCTTTGATCTCTGTCGTGAAATGAGTGAGTTGGCAGGAACTGACTTGTCACAGTCTGCAAAATAGAAGCATCTGTTAGATGTTAAATAAAATATGCTTTTTACATGACTTTTTTTTTTCTTTACCTTTCATAGTTTATTTGTAGGCAATAATAATCTTTCTATGCAGCCAAGTATATTTGTGGTGAACCACCCAACTGAATGAAGTCACTGTTACAGTTCGCTCTGTTGTAGATAAATTTTCTCTATATTTCCAAAAGAATTTACACTGAAAATGCATGAATTTTTATGGACTGTTTTATATAGTTGTTTATGAAGCCATTAAAATCAATCACTGTACTCCCTCCTACCACCTCAACAGTGTGTTACATTTTTGGTTTTGCCACAAGTTAACCTTTTTTGGAACACACTATTACAAGACGTTGCTCCAAAAAATAAATGAACACTTTGAAAATATCAAATCTCAATAGGGGGGAAAATTGCTTAATATCTATGTTGATATGGACTGAATACTGCTTTAGGAATGGATGCCTGTCATGGTGACTGATGGAAATTTAAATTACCAAAATACACATAGCTGAATTTAAATACAACCTGAAACCCAAAGAATGAAAAAATTATGCGGCAGACTAGTCTATTTTGCTGGAATTTCGTTGTACAAACTTAAACTGGTACTCAGTATGGACCCCGTATACTTTTATGTAAGCCTAACAACACTGGAGCATGCTCCTAACAACATAACAGATGGTTTCCTGGGGGATCACCTCCCAGACCTGGATCAGAGCATCACTGAGCTTGGTGGCGTCAGATGGACCAAGACGTGATATATCCCAGATGTGTTCTGTTGGACTTCTGTTGGACTCAGGTGTGGGGGAAGTCAATGGTGTCAATTCCTTCAACCTCCAGGAACTGCCTGCATACTCTTGCCACATGAGGCTGGGCATTGTGGTGCACCAGGAGGAAGTCAGGTACCACTGCACCAGTGTTGGTCTAGCGCTGGATCCAAGGACTTCATCCTGATATCCAGTTAGTGTCCCATTGCCTGGCCTGTAGAAGTCTGTTCATTTCTCCCCCAGAACATTACTAACCCACCACCAGTGGGTCAGTCATGTAATATGAGTGATGTTACGCAGCATAATGTTCTCCACAGCTGTAGGACCTGCCAGTTCTAGTATTCTATACAAGGACCTTGTATAGCCCAGTCCACTACTCTTAGGGTAACTAATCTCAGCAAACCTTATTGCAGTGGCACATGTTGCTATGGTAAATGGACTGATTCCTATATAGCGCTTTTCTACTCTCCTGGAGCACTCAAAGCACTTTATACAACATGCCACACTCACCCATTCAGCACTTTCTTCTGTGCTTTTCAGTGCTTCCTAGCTAATATTCACTTTGATGGATGCATCAGAAAGCACACTGGTATCTTATTGAAGCATCAAACCACTAACCTTCGATCAGTAGATGACCTGCTCTACCTCCTGAGCTACAGCCAGGAGAGGAGTCAAACTTAGAGGAATCTTAGAGGAGTTGAACTACCTTTGCTACCTGTAGGGTCCAAGTCTCGCCTCATGCTACATGTAGTGACCCGGACTCTGGACTTCTACACAAAAGCAAAACTAGTGAAAAACAGAAAAGAGGTAAAAAGTCAGTGACCTGTAACACCATTCCTGTTTTGGGGGTTGTTTCATTGTTCTACCTGTAGTGCACCTATTGTTAATTTCATTAACATCAAAGCAGCTGAAACTGAATAACAACCCCTTCTGCACCTTAACTGACCAGCTAAATAACCAAGAAGTTTAATTGACTTGAAGCTACACTCTGATGAATTCAATTCAGTTTTATTTATACAGCGCCAAATCACAAAAGCAGTCACCTTGAGGTGCTTTATATTGTAAGGTAGACCTTACAATAATACATACAGAGAGAAAAAACAACAATCATAAGACCCCTCTATGAGCAAGCACTTCAGCGACAGTGGGAAGGAAAAACTCCCTTTTAACAGGAAGAAACCCGGCTCAGGGAGGGGCGGGGCCATCTGCTGCGACCAGTTGGGGTGAGAGAAGGAAGATGGGATAAAAGACATGCTTTGCAAGAGAGCCAGTGATTAATAACAAGCATGATTCAATGCAGAGGAGTCTATTAACACATTTTGAGTGAGAAGGGTGAATGAAGAAGAAATACTAAATGCATCATGGGAATCCCCCGGCAGCCTACACCTATTGCAGCATAACTAAGGGAGGATTCAGGGTCACCTGATCCAGCCCTAACTATATGCTTTAGCAAAAAGGAAAGTTTTAAGCCTAATCTTAAAAGTAGAGATAATGTCTGTCTCCCAAATCCAAACTGGAAGCTGGTTCCACAGAAGAGGGGCCTGAAAACTGAAGGCTCTCCCTCCCATTCTACTTTTAAATACTCTAGGAACAACAAGTAAGCCTGCAGTGTGAGAGTGACGTGCTCTAATGTGGTGATATGGTACTACAAGGTCATTAAGATACAATGGAAACTAGTTTCTCAGCGTGGATATGGAACAAATGGAAGAAGTAGTCGTAAATATTTGTTTAATATGTGCGTTGAAGGACATATCCTGGTCAAAAATGACTCCAAGGGTCCTCACAGCATTACTGGAGGCCAAGGTAATGCCATCCAGAGTAAAAATCCAGTTAGATACCATATTTCTAAGATTTTCAGGGCCGAGTACAATAACCTGTTTTATATAAATTTAGAAGCAGAACATTTAGAGGCCATCCAGGTCTTTAAGTCTTTAAGACATTCCTGCAGTTTAACTAATTGGTGTGTGTTATCTGGCTTCATGGATAGATAAAGCTGTGTGTCATCTGCATAGGAGTGAAAATGTACACAATGCCTTCTGTTGATACTGCCTAAGGCAAGCATGTATAATGTAAACAGAATTGATCCTAGCACTGAACCATGTGGAACTCCATAATTAACCTTAGTGTATGAAGAGGACTCTCCATTTACATGCACAAATTGGAGTCTATTACTCACTCGAATAGGATATTTTGGTCAACAGTGTCGAACGCTGCACTAGGTCTAGGTCTAGCAGGACAAGTGCAGAGATGAGTCCACTGTCAGAGGCCATAACAAAATAATTTGTAACCTTCACTAAAGCTGTTTCTGTACTTGTGATGAGCACAGATTAAAATCTGTTCCTTTTGTGAGCATTGTATATTAAAAAATTATCATTGTCGTATTTTTACATCCCTGTACAGGGACAGCTAAAAACACACTAGTAAATGAACTGGTTCTTATATAGCAGTTTTCTAGTCTAACTGAGACCTTAAAGCATTTACAGAACCTGTCCTCATTCACCCCCATTTATACAAGCACTTTTTTCCCTCTATGCGTTTCCTATATAAGTGCTCTTTATCAGAGTATAAAGCAACCTGGGTTTACTATCTTGCCCAAGGATATTTGGCATACAGGCTGGAGCAGACAGGGATCAAACCAACAACCTTCCAATTATTAGGTGACCTGTTCAACCTCCTCACATCCCAGCTGGATTTACACTATATATTAGACCCAAAGTGAATAGTTTTAACCTTTTTTTTTCAAAACATTTCATTAAGGGGATATAAAACACACAATTTGTTCCATTTGAAGTCTCTTACTAGTTAACATCTTTTCAGTGAGCTGATCAAACTGGCACCAAATATTACTTAGGCAGCGATAAAGGAAAAACAAAAGAACAGCAAAGTACATGAGTTGTCAGTAAGACCTGAGTCATATCAACTCCTCAACAGCAAAATGAATAATCTCCATCAAATCTGTTGTACGATCATTAACATTAGGAAATGGTTTTAGTAAAGTAGTTTTTATTTGGTTCAAGAAGCATACCAGGACTACCATACAGTTAAACTGAGAGCCTTCCAGAAAAACAAAACAAAACATGGAGCGGCTTTGATTGCTACAGTTTTACATTTAATATCACAGGCATGAAGCTTACAGATGTGTTCTGAATGGGTGCTGTAAAAACTGACATTTTCAAGGCAAAATTTCTTCAATTAGTCAGCTACAGAGCTGGCACTGTGGACATACTTCATTCTTAGGAGCTCTTCTTCTCCTCAAATATGAGGTTTGCTGTGGCTTTCCTAGCTGTGGACAAATCACAAACAAATACAAAGACACTGTCAGTGAAACTTAGTACATCAGTACTGCAGATGTTTGACTTTAGAAACCTGCAAAATGGCATCCAAGATCAACTTAATTTTAATTTACAACTACAAAATATAAACATGTCTAGTATGAAACTATTTTAAATTATGGCCCACCCCTAGTTTTGAGAATTTGGACCTTGTTGTGCTGTTGTTGTGTACGTTTGGTACAGTGGATGATATGTGAAAATCTTCTGTATTTTTTACTGAAAATGTTTCAATCCTTTTTCTGTTTTTGGTTGACTGTATTATTGGCAGTCAGCATTTTTTTTTAAAATAACTGAAATGTATACAAATTCACAAAATTACTCCCAAGCTAGAGAGAGAACTCAAGTTGGAGTATTGTCTGAGGTTTAAGTCTGTTTAATATCTAAGGAGCTTGAAAAGAAAGGCAAGTAGACTTTTTGAGTTTCTTCAATACGTTTCACCTCTTATCCGAGCTTAGCTAGCTGAATGTGAGCAGCTACGGTTAAATCTCTTGAAGGCATTTTTTCATTGCATCTTAAATAGGATCTGATATATCAGTTAGGCTCTTTTAGCAAACACTACACAATTATGATGATTTAGTCACCCTCATCCTTGAACTTGTCTGCAGCTTCTGACGCCTTGTCCTTGATGTTATTCACTACATCATCAATCTTGGCCTCGTTCTTGAGGAAGAATGGTCGAATGATGCGGTTATATATCTGCACCGATCCATTAGAAGGAGTTGGAGCCATACACCACACCAAGAAGACACACTGGGGGAAAAAAACAAAATTTCTCTCAAAAAATTAAAACAGGTATAGAATTTGGCACTAAACACAATAATAATAATAGTATAACTTTCAGGCATTATGACCGCCTGCCTAAACTGCTGGTCCCCCTTTTGCTGCCAAACCGGCCCTGAGTCATTGAGGCATGGACTCCACTAGACCCCTGTAATCATTTTGTTGTATCTGGCAGCATGATATTAGCAACAAAACTTTTAAGTCCTGTAGGTTGGGAGGTGGGGCCTACATGGATCGGGCTCGTTTACACATTACATTCTACAGATGCCCGACTGGATGTGGGGAATTTTGAATCCAGGTCAACACCTCAAAGTCATTGTTGTGCTCCCAACCATTTCTGCTTTGTTGCAGTGTACATTATCCTGCTGAAAGAGGCCCACCCATCAGGGACTACCGTTTCGATTAAAGGATGCACACGGTCTCGTACAATGCTTAGGTAGGTGATATGTGTCATGGTAACATTCACATGGATTTCGGGACTCAAGGATTCCCAGCAGGGAATTGCCCAAAGGATCATACTGTCAACTTGCGTTCTTCCTGTAGTGCATCCTGGTGCCAGGTGTTCCCCAGGTAAGCAACACACACACACACACACTAGGCCATCCACGTGATGTAAAAGAAAATACAATTTTTCAGGCCAAATCACCTTCTTACATTGCTCTGTGGTCCAGTTATGATGCTCACATCCCTACTACTGGTGCACTGGGTAGCGGACAACATTCAACATGACCCTGACTGGTCTGTGGCTTTGCAGCCCGATGCACAACAAACTGCTATGCACAGTATCCTGACATCTTTCTATCATAACCAGCATTTTTTTTTCTCCTATCATGACCAGCATTAATAGCAATTTCAGGTACAGAAACTCATCTGTTGAATTGGACCACATGGGCCAGCCTTTACATGTGCATGAATGAGCCTTGGATGCTCGTGACCAATGTTCCCTCTAAGCTGCGCGCGTGCGCAATTGCGCACTGCTTGCATGGTCTCTACGCACAGAAAATCTGCGTTGCGCACAAAAAAAAAAATCTAACCTGAATTGAAATTAAAATTAATACTTTAATAATTCTGTTTTGCAGTGTTAGCCAGTAAGTGACTGGCT